GACTTGCCTGTCTTACAGTTCCGGTTTTTTCTCCTCTTCCTTCCTATTAGCTTCAACTCTGAAAGATGACCAGAAATCTCGGATAGAGAAGAACCTCATCAATGTTTTAATGGTAGGTTGGAATTCTTCGTGTAAAGCGAGTTCTGAGGCTGTGTGTGCGGAGATCTGAATCCTGCATGTGTGTGTTCTGTAACTAGCTGAGCGAGTGTGTAACTCTGTGTTGTGCAGAACGAAAGTCCTGAGCCTGAGCCTGACTGTGACGGCGCCGCTGTGAAAACTGCTCAGAAGCTGTGGGCGGACCGGGTCTCCCTGGCCGGCAGCAACGTGTTCACCGTCGGGGTGCAGCACCTCGTGCCGTTCGGTGGGTGGCCGCCATCTGCAGTGTTATTTTAGGGAAAGTATCCTTATTTCTACAAAACGAGTAGGTGCAGAATAATAATTATAAAAATCAAAGAATTGTCTAAGTGTAGTCATTTTATGAATAAACTAATTTTATTTATTTTTCCCCATTGATGATCAAAATTTTAAATAGTTTATGTCTTAAGTTTACTTTGTTCAGTTGTAGTTCAGATGTTATTTGAAGCACATTTGAAAAGTCTTATTTGAAACACATGTGCTTTACTGTCTAGGGCAGGTATTTTGGAATAAATTAAAAGCAACAAAATGGTTCTTTTTCCTTTAAAATACTATGTTACATGTCAGGAGCAATGGTGTTTTTAAGATTAATGCTGGTTTTGGAACTGTAGTTTACTTAAATTTGGTTTGTTTTTAAAAAGTGAGTTCCCTTTGTGTGCATCGAAGCACTTCCCACATAGCAGCCGGTGAGAACATGCATGTGGGTGCGTCCTTTCCGCAGAGCGAGGATCGGAGAGCCGTGTGTGAGGGCCCGGATGTGCTGGTGTGTGACTCGGCCCCTCTGTTTCTTTCCAGTGCAATGCAAAGCCAAGTTCCACGCCCCCAGTTTCCACGTTGATGTGCCTGTGCAGTTTGATATTTATCTGAAGGCTGACTGTCCACATCCCATCAGGTTCTCTAAGCTCTGCGTCAGCTTTAACAACCAGGTAAAGGTGCCAGCTCACGGGCCTCACCACGTGTGAATCTTATTGCAGCTCCCGTGAAGTTAGATAGAGTGAGCTTAGCAAGCTTTAGGTCCTAATGATTTTGTAGGAAATTAAACAATGTGTATAGTTCTCAACTTCTACATCAGTAATTCAAATTTAACATTTTTCCTACTATTTTTGTTTTTCACTCCATGCTTATGAAATCTAAGAACTTTTGTCTATGTATTTTTGTAATATGTAACTTGAATTCCAAATAAGATATATTCAGAATGAATATAATTTTCAAAATCACTTGCTCTGCATATAGCATTGATATTAGTTTTTCATTATTAAACTACTAGAGGCCCAGTGCA